TATTAGGTCAAATCTTTGGGTTTTTTGTGTTTGTTTGTTCTGCGGTACGCGGGCCTCTCACTGTTGTGGCCTCTTCCCGTTGCGGTGCACAGGCTCCGGACGCGCAGGCTCAGCGGCCATGGCTCACGGGCCCAGCCGCTCCGCGGCATGTGGGCTTTTCCCGGACCGGGCACGAACCCGCGTCCGCTGCAAAGGCAGACGGACTCGCAACCACTGCGCCACCAGGGAAGCCCCAAATCTTTGTTCTTTAAAAGTAATATCTAAGAGTCACCTAACTGTGGGTCTCATACTATTTACCAGTTTCACCTCACTGTGACACTGATTATGCCCTTAGAACGGTAAAGGCAGTATTGGGTCTGTGTAATCCAATACTAATATTATACTTATTTACAGTGCACATTAGTTGGGCTTAGCATTAAATAAAATGCTAGTTTTTGAGGATACGTTTCCTCAAACGTTAGCCTTTAAAGGAATCGTGCCTTGATTACCCAGAATTTATAAACAGTCTACCTAGGTCTTTAGTTATTTTTGTCCCAAATAGCTATTTTGTAAATCCATGAAAATGACAAAATTCAACAAGTGTGGCTCTCTTTGAATGCAAAAACATCACAATACCCTCTATGAAATGCTATGTAACTGTAGTGGGAGGAATTTAATTACCGTCCCCGGGTTTTCAAGGAAAAAAAAAAAATCATTTTCCTGGCTGACTACTGCCCGGAATGCACACCCCATAACTAACATACCTTTTCATTTTGTTGATTTCCTATCTGCTGCCTTCAAGTATTTTTCCTCCTCTCATCTCATCTTCTACCTCTAGCCTCCCCATCCTACCCAGCCCAACTGTAGCAGATAGAATGTAAAGTCACACAGAATCATAAAATGAGTTCTTTCTCAGGATCCACTTTGCAATCAATCTGTGTCTACTCCATGGGAGTTAAATTGAAAACATATAAGAATGAAATTGCATTGTTCTTGCTTTTCATTTCTTGTAGCTAATACATATTTTGCTATAAAAATTCAAAGATACATATGTGAGTAAATAGGAATAATCTCTAAATTATGCATCGGGTATGCATTTCTATAGAAAAATACTGATAGAATTATTTATTATTACAAAGGCATAAATTTTTCATATATAATATAAAAAATAAACACTGAAAATGTGAGAACAAGGACAGGCTAGGTGTATGTAAATATACAGGTACATATATTGCTTCAGTCATTTAATAAGCAAGACGGCTTCTATGTTAAGCAGGGCTAGGTGTGGGATATAGAGATGAAGAGACACAGTCCCTGCCCTTAAGAAGCTCACTTTCAGGAAGGGAGATAAGCACAAAAATGGACACATACAAGGTATACACTATTTTAAGGGTTATCTCAGAGTGTCTGCAAATACATCGGGGCCCCCAAGTTTCTTGGCAGTATTAGACCAGTTCATATCTGAGGTCAAACAGCTAATCAGTGGGAAATTCATCGCCCATTCTATAATTGTCAAACGGATGGGCTGGAGTAGCAATCCTCTCTCAAGAGGGATAATTTGCAAGATGCTTGGAGGAAAACTGTTAAGATTTTAAAAAGAGTCAGAGAATAACTATTTTCTGAAAAGGATGAGGAATGTGACAAAATAGCTTAGGGTGGGGGCTATTTTGTAAAGCCTTCTGTTTATAAACAATCCTAGTCAAGAAGAATAGAACAGCAACTTTTCCTGTTTCTCTCAGACTTTTCCTTTGGATTTCTTTTTCCACTGAACAATCCGAACAACCGAGAAATGAAGGAAAACACAAACACTTGCAGACAGACACACACACACACACACACACACACACACACCATTTCATCATACACGTTGTCCTCAGGCATGAGAAGCCTTTAACGTTATATACGGTTTCCCTAAAGTCATGTGGGATAAAGATCTTGATGTGTTGCAGAAGGGTGTTGTAGGGGGAAGGTTGAGAAAACCGCTTAGGGAGACAGGAAGGAACATTAGGGCACACGTCGCTCGGGTGTGTGTTAACGTGTGTGTGTGGGGGCAACTCACAGGGACCGATCTTTACCGCATTGAAGCTAATCCCTTAATCCCTTCCATTTGTACATCAATTTACAGTTCTTTAAGCACTTTTCCAACCATTATCACATTTAATCTTCACAAGTGCCAGGAAAGAACAGGGACAGGGATTAATCAGTCCTCCTAATGCAAAAAGGAGAGGATGTGATTTGGCCAAGGTCACAAAGACAGTGAGGGGCAGAGCTGGCTGAAACTTTGAGTTATTCTTTTTCTTTTTAGGCACGGGCCCTCTTTTTTACTTTTTTAAAGCCTGGAGGTAGATATTAATCTGGGCCATGGGAAGAAATAAGTAAACAAATGACAGTTTTATGTTTATACCAAGCTTTCATACCAGGTGAAAACTGACTCCTCCTAAAGTCCTGCCTGGTCTCCTAAACTCAGTCAGAAGATTCTAGAAGCAGGACCCAAGGACCTCTGCTAGCCCCAAACAGTGTGTTTTCACTCTGCAGTGAGAAAAGGGTTTGTGCCTGAATGCAATCAATTGCACATCGCAGGTGGCAAATTTTTTCTTGGCAAGGCTTTGTTGATCAAGGAGGAGGTGTGTGTCATGGATGCTGACGCAGACGCATGCTCCCATCACAGCCCTGGAACCAGCAGTTGGAGGACAAGCCTTTTGAGGAGCATGGCTCTCGACTAATGAAACTAATGACACTGAATTAATGAAACTAATGAAATTCCCTAGTGTGGGATTTCGGAGTGCCCTTTCTCCTGGTAACAACTTGAGTTCCCATGGTTCCCAACTTTGGACTTGGGGAGCTTCCTATTCACATCTTGCTCATAACTCCCCCACCCTCTCAAGTGGAATAAGCACCCATTTACTCAGCCACACTCTTCTGAGCCCCTGCTTCTTGCCAGCTGTGGACTACAGGCTGGTGAAGTCTATCGACACGGAAACAAGCATTAATGGAAGAAAGTGAGAAGGGCTGTGATTGAGGTAGGTACGGGGGCTCTGGAAAGACCAGGCAGGAGTCCGTAAACCAGGGTAGTGAGGGAAGAACTTGAGAAAAGATGCCCGAGAGCAAGTAATGACTGTACTGAGCCAGATGAGTGCTAGTAAATTACCAGGCAGACAGTGGAGGGAAGTGAATACCCCATAGAAGAAATAGTGCATAGAAAATCACAAGGGCGAAATACAATGTGCTCACAGAACTGCGAGCAATTTATTATTCAGTGGGGAGAGGGGCATAGCACAAGCGGGAGGATCCTGACCATAAAGGATCATAAAGGATCTTTTATGCGAAAGTAAGAGGCTTAGTTTTTATCCTGTGGGCAGTGGTAAGCTATTGACGGCATTTATGCAGGGTCATAGAGGAATAAGTTCAAAGTTTTTAGAGACTATCACTCTGGAAACTATAAGATTGTTGGAGGAGGCTGGTATAGGAAGCAAGGAAATTAACAAATTTTTGCAGTAACCCGGGAGGGCAGGCCTAGCCAAGACAGAGACAGTGGAAATTTGGGAAAGAAGATTAAAATTTTTAAGAGGTTGATCTCGACACTTAATGATAACATTGGGGTGAAGGGTGTTGAGAGGGAGAGAGGTATGCAGGGCAATGGTGTCCTTGGTTTGTGCCACGTGTAGAACCCTAATGTGCTGGTCCCCAGCCCAGCACTCATTTCTCTATGTAACAAAGCAGGTTGCATGTGAATGTCAGGACCCACCTGCCACTGTCCTTGACCTCTGCCCTGCACTGGCCAGGTTCTGCATAGTGACCAAATCAGGTCAGTGACGTGGCCTATCACGCATGACCCTCTGTACTTGCTCACAACATGCTCACCCACGGATCTGGGGTCCCAAGCAGCTTCCAGATCCTGGGCTCCGTCTCATGTTCCCCATCTCATCCTGCCCTCTCAGACTCCGTGATTGCTTCTGTTCTCTCTGCCTTCTGACTCTGCCTGTACTTGGTGACCCCAGGTGGGATAACCTATTCTTCCTGCCTGCTTTGAACTGCCTCAGATGAGATGTCCTATCTAGCTGGCACTCAGGATCCAGGGGTGCCCACTTGCAGCCTACCAGCCAGCCTCCCAGACTCGACTGAGTGACTCTGGCCAGAATTGTGCACAGTGTTAAGGTCCCAAGTGGCCTGTGTTTGCTCCGTCTTCCCTGAAGACTAGGGGATGGTCACTTCTCTTGGAGACCACATAGCTCAGAGGGAAGTTTTCAGGACCTAATCTGCTCAGCTGCCCCGGCAGAGCCCGCAACCCATCCCTGCTCCGGAGGTGTCTGTGAGCCCTGTGGGTAAAGGGAGAGTGGTGCTCACATCCAAGTACCTGGGCCCCATGGATGAGGCACCAGAGGGCAGAATAATAACATCTGTATCACATGTTGTCTCACTGAATCCTCACAACAAATGTGGTTTGTTCAACATGCAACAGATATGTGCTTTGCACATGCTATGTACCAGATACTGTTTAAGGAGTTGAAGATTCAGGGGAGAGAGGACGAAAAGGTTCCTTTTGGTCATGAAATTAAAATTTTAGTGGAGGGGAGATGGACATGAACAAACAAGGAGTTCAGTTAGTGCTAAGTTCTATGAAGAAATTAAAACAGCCTAAAGAGATAAAGGGTTTTGGCAATTTTGGGTCTTTTATGATTCCACATTAAATTTTAGGATTATTTCTTCTAGTTCTGTGAAAAACATCACGGGTAATTTGACACAGATCACATTAAATCTGTAGATTGCCAAGGGGGAGCGGAGGTAGGGGAGTTTGGGATTAGCAGATGCAAACTATTATATACAGAATGGATAAACAACAAGGTCTTACTGTATAGCACAGGGAACTATGTTCAGAATCCTGTGATAAACCATATGGAAAAGAATATGAAAAAGAATATGTATGTGTACACGTACACATATACTGAATCACTATGCTGTATGACAGAAATCAACACAACATTGTAAATCAACTCTACTTCAATTTAAAATAGGAGCGATAAAGGGCAGTGGGGGAGAGTGGTGAGGAAAGGCCTCGCTGAGCAGGGGCATTTAAGTTGAGATAGGAATGTACCAGGGGTCGCCCTGCTTCCTGAGACGGTCAGCAGGAAAAGCCTGTTAGCCAGAGAGGGCAGCTGACGCAGACACTCCAAGGTGATTACAAGCTTAGCTAAATGCAAGGACCCCGTGGTAAATTTGTCTTGGACAGCCACGTAGAAGCTAGATCTTGTTCCAAAATTCTGTTCTGGAAGAACATTACTGCTTCTTAATTTCCCAGTCGATGCCTCTCTTTTTATTCTTTAGGGAAACATTTTGGCACATTAGAAAGAACCCAGGCTTTGGAGGAAGACATACTTACGTTTGACTATCAACTTGATCTCTCTTTATCTCCATCAACTTAGTCAAACTACTGAAAATCTCTCAGCTTCAGTCTCCTCGCCTGTGTAATAAGGATGAAAAGCTCAACTTTAGAGATTTAGAGTGAGACCCAAATGAGATAAACATTCATTAAAATGTAGTTAAGTTTTCTGAGACATAATGTTCACCTAATAAATATTGGTTATTCCCCTTCCTCATTAAAGAGGCTGAAGACTATTATAAACAAAAGTATTATTAGAGCTATTATTAACTTCATAACCCTCTTGCTTCCAATTAAGGGAAATACCTTTTATTAGTGTCATAGAGTATGAATAGGAATTTGAATATCACAATACGTAAACTTCTATTAAACGTATTTAAATGTGTAAATTAAAAACAAACACATCTCAATGTGTGAGTAGTCTGCTAAAATATACCCATTTCCATGGGCCTTGAGGATTAATAATGGCAACAAATAGAGAAAAAAAAATCAAGATTAATCCAAGGCAAATTGGTCAAGGGAGCATTCCACTTCATTTATCTAAAGAAACAATAAAAGGACCTGCCATTTTTGGAATGATAATTATGTGCTTTGAACATGTTATACCTCAAATCATTAAAATAACCCTGAAAGTTAAGTATTTTTTTGGGACTCCAGCCATTGCAAATGACAGGATCTCAAATCTAACTCACAAAAAGAGACGATTTTGTGAAGTCCTAACTGAAGTATAAGGTTGGGACCAAAACCAGGCATGGCTGGATTCAGAAGCTCAAATGAGGCTTTGAATTTGACGTTAGTGTTTGCTTCCCTTTCAATATTTCTGCCTTTTATCCTTCTGTGTTGGCTTTGTCATTAGGCAAGCTCTTTCCAGGAGAAGCATCATCATCGCTGGATTCCCAAGACCCTCAAGACTCATAATCCAAAATTAAAGAGTTTTTTTCTTTTCCAGTGTCCATAGACCAATCTCAAGGAGGACACTGAGACAGAGCCCTGCTTAGAGCAGGTGACTTTATTTTAACACTTTCTCATGGTCAGGGTGATGAGATCATTCTCTACTGTGGTGAGGATGGCATCTAAGGATGGGAAGGAAGTAGGGTCATGATCAGGACAAAATGGAGATGGTAGGAGTGCTGTCAAAGAAAGGATGTGAAATAAATATACACAATATACTATATTGCATTCTTAATTTGCATATGAGAAAACTGAGGCTTGGATATTTAAATCAATGAATAAACAAAATCTTGCCCAAATCACACAGCTAATCAACGGCAGAACAAAAATTCAAAATGATAACTGATTCTAAAGTCTGAGATCTTCCAGTTCGCCACTTGCTTCTCTAACCCGCCATTAGTGCAAAGGCACCTCCACTGGATATTTCAACAAGGAAGACAAGATCACTGTATTGTATTTGCAAGGTCCAGTTTCTAAGGGACATTTTTATGCTTCCTCTCAGTTTTGTCCTATCTTTGGTGTGTGTATATATATATATATATATATATATAATTATCTAATATATATATTAGATTATTCTAACATGTGCCTTCTTTGTGCTATTTCAGATTTTCTAAATGTAATCTACTAAACAATAAGATTATCAGGGAAAAAAAGTTAATTGAAAAGACTCAAGTCATGCACAGTTAAACTTAATAAGTCTTGGATTTGGGCCTGGGATTATTTTCCAGTCAAGTCGACAGAGCTGTACAGAGGGAGAACGTTCGCTTTGCAAACGTCTCTCTCGCAGCGCATTTATGTCCTTCCATTATCATTATGTGTCTGTGATTCTTTCCCTCTACCGCCACCCTCACTGTATTATCAGGACTTAGTACTAGGGGTGTTTATTTAGTTTACAAGTCTGGTGTGTAACACAGGACTTGGCTTAAAATCACTGCCAAACTGTTTGCTGAGTGAATAGGTGTATTCGTGTACTACTGGAAGAGAGAAGCAAGAGATGTATACCTCTGTTCAGTGTACTGATGTCAAAATGTACTATGACAAGAGAAAACAACAATAAAAGAAACAGAATGAGTATGAAACTGCAAAGAATAAGTCAGACACAATTATTTTAAAGCTCTGGGGGTTTCCCTCAATCTGGGTAGGAAGGAGAGAGAGCCGTGCCAGTGAAGACCTGTCTCTGACAAGGGCAGAAGCCATGCAGTTACATAAAGTGATTGGTTTAAAAAATTACCTGTCATCTGCTCTGGATTGGCTGATTACAGATTACAGCAGAGTTGGTGCTGCCGATGGCTGAGCCCGAAGTCCATTTGTTGAGTCCAGAGAGCACAGTCAATGAGTTTATCAGCCTGTTTTTCTGCTGTTTCTGGGCAACTTAATGGAAGTCTTGGGTTTCTTGTTCCAGGGTTCTGACCACTTGGCCTACGCCTGTGTGAGTAATAATCCTTTGAAGTAATCATTTTCTTCACCTCTACTTTACATCTTTGAAGTAATCACCTGAGGGAGAACAGAAGTGCTGGCTACCCAGCCCAAAGGGAGCGAGACGGGTCAAAGCAGCCTTCCAGAAAAGGGGACCCCTGTTCTTCGCTTTTGTCAGTTCTTTATTTTATTGAACATCCAGAAGTGGCTAAAATCTGGCTAAAAATGTTGATTTAAATAATACTGGCTTCCAAATGACGGAAAGGATCTTTAGGCACCATTGGATAAGGATTTACGTATGAAGTACCTGTAGTACCATTAGGAAATCTTATGAAGATTTGACATTCATGGTCTCTGATGCTCAGTGATGGTCTCTGGTCCCAGTTGACCTGACACTTGCTTCTCTTGCCTTTGAGAGTGTTGCTCTAGGCATCTTTAGACCTACACACCTTTTTCTCTTGGGCATGCTATCTATCTCTCCACGAAGGCACATCTTTCCAACATAAGCAACTGAAATTTCAGTGGGAAAGCAAAAGAGGTGTGAAACAATTCTCCTTTTGGACCTTGCAGGTTTAATAAGGAATCTATCATCTCCCCAGCTTCCAGACTCTATGTTTCCAGAGAAGAAACCAGAGATGAGGATGTCTCCTCAGGTATTTTGTTCACATCTTCAAGAGAATAAGATACAGTTTTATCAGAACAAGAGACATGAAGCACAGGGCACTAGTACAGACGCATGAACTGCTAAGAGTTAAGAGCATAGGTTGGGTGTCAGCAAAAAAAAGTTCACCCTCTGGCAAGGTCAATCACTGTGAACTTGGCTAGGTTACTTAACCTGCCTGATACTGTTTCCTCATCTGTAACATGGATATTGTCTTGGTGTCTACCTCATAGCGTGAGAATTAAACCTGAAAGTGTATGGTGAGGAGAGCTTTTGTCAACAGTTTTTCTTATATAAACATTCGTCTCAATTCTGGGAATTTATCCTTAGAGCAAGTTAAGCGTGGTTCGTGTTTGAAAAATTGGAGGAGACTCTCATGATCAAAGAGGGAAGGCGGCCTCAACAGGAGAAGAAAGATTGTTAATTCCAGTTGGAATGTATTTGATGAAAAGCAGGGGATGGAGAAGTTTCACCTAATGCTGATTTAGATGAAGCATTCTGCAAATGGTATTGTTGCAGGAAACAGTTTTGAGTCTTTACCGTTAGCAAATACTGTGCAGATCACTTTGGAGAACACAAGGGTGAATTGATGCCTTAAGGGCGGGAATTATGTTTACCCATTATTATCTGTCAGGTAGTAGATGGTGAATAAATATGCTTTGAATGAATGGACTAGAAAAGGCTTTGACTTGATTCTTATAATTTATGTAAAACAGACGTGCAAATAAATGATGATGCAATGTAGAAAGTGGTAACTACTCTGAGTTTGATACAAGTGAAGAGAGATGGGATAATACCGGAAGCGTGATGGGTCAGGAGGAAGGTGGGACATTTTTAAAACATCTCCTTTCTGCCATTTACAAAATTCTTCACCTGCACAACCTTGAGTAAGTTAGTCAGTTCTAATCAGTGTTTGTTGAACACCCACAATGCACCGGGAATCCAAGGTAATGCACCAGGTTTCTTAATGGAGGGGCCCCAACCTCCCCATCTGCAAAATGACGGTGGTGGTTATACTGAATTCCTCAGATCTTTGTGAAGTTTTAGTGAAACAGCATACGCAAAAGCACTTTTTTAAACTAAAAAGTGGTTTTCAACTGTGCATCGCTGTTGAGACGTCTGCTCTGGGAGTTCATTAAACAGAGAAAGATGACTTCCAGGTGGAGCAATGAACAGAAATGGCCTCCACGTAGAGACCGAAAAAATTACGTGAGTCCTTTTACATTATATCTGTTGAAGCATCATGGAGCATTTCTGAATGTTTCCAAAGAGAAATGAGAAAAACGTATAATTGAATAAAAGCTGGATGTTTGTCATAAAAATGTCATTCAAAAGGCTTCAGAAAACATGCTCGGCTAATTAGCCATTATGATCAGGTATCTATGGAAACAGCTGTATATCAGTACTCAAAATAAACAGTCGTTTAACCATTTAACAGAGAAGAACACAGAAGTGAGCCTTGTTTAGTGATTTCTTGCAACATATGTACTAGGAGAAAAATGTAGAATTTTAAAGGAAAAAAATAACATTAAAATAAAAAAGATCCAGGTGGGAATGAGGGAGTAGAATAAAGGAAATCGTTTGCATGACTAAAGACCACGCCTGTTTTATGTGCATTAGCAGCAACACACATTGGGCCCTTGATAAGATAATAATTTGCAGGCATATTCCACATATATTATCAATAATACAAAAAACATTAAGCTTTACTTACGTTGTCTAGCAACACAAAGATGAAAAGGATCCAATCTCTGTCCTTGAGGAACTCGCAGTATGAAGATCAGGAGAAAGATTTAATAGGGGAGGTCCCTGTGAAGCATTCTGGGAACACAGATGAGTACATGACAGATTTGGTGTTGGAGCTGGGGATCGGTGAGAACCACAGGGAAAAGTGGCATTTGAGCATGGCCGTAAAGCCAGAGAGATATTCATACAAGTGGAGAAGATGGATAAGGAATGGTGCCAGCAACATGCCATGACCTTGAATTATGTGCACAGTGCACTGGGAAATGACCAAAGCAGTGGACTTTGAGGTTCAAAGAACTCCTGACAAATTATTTCTAAGCCATTCCCACAAGAGATGGAACTTTTGAAGCCCTGTTTTAATCTAGAATCTTCACTTGCTTACGACTTCCTTTAACAACACATGTGACTTTCCTAATGACAACTGTTGCACCTGATAGATGATGCTTGGTCATGGAGTAATCCTACATAATCATAACAGTAATGGCTTGGCAATGGCAGAACAAATGAGC